GTTTGGTTTTTGTTGGTTGGTATTTTCATTCTATTTACTCATTAGTGCAGTTAAAAAAACAAATGAGCTACTTTACCAGAGGCAAACAAGTTCCCATATTTATCAATAAAAAGCAAAAGCAAATTATATTTATCTATTTATACATAATTCCAACCACAACCAAATAGAAGTCCTGCCCTTCACTGATTTTGAGAGCTGTTTATTGCTATGAGACATTCTTTTCCCCCTTTTCATTGTGTGTGTGTGTGTGTGTTATCATCAATTTCAGTAAAGGTTAATCTGTGTGGTAACTGACAAAAGGTAGCAGAACCTAATGAAGCATGTGTGCAGTATCACTAATCAGAAGCAACAGCTAGGGACAACATGGCAAATGCTCCCTAAGTCACACTCCAAGCACTAGGTATAACGTGCACTAGCATAAACAAAGGACATTTTCTATATTTCCAAAAGCCATTCTAGTGCTACTTTCTTCAAGTCTAAAGAGGAGTCGGTGGTATCGTGCTGTCTGTGGCTTCTTTTTTTTAACTGTCTATAGCAGACACTGTGTTTTTGTTTCCTTGACACCGAAACTTCAGTGTCTGGTATTTTTGCCATAAGCATCTTTGTCTGGTATTTTTGCCATAAGCATCTTTACCACAAGCACTTTTGTTGCATAACTAATTGGCCATAAGTCAATTTTGCCATAAGATAAAAACACAAAAAATAAGAGAGAGAGAGATTCATTAAAAAGGACATATTAAACAGAAAAATAAATAACAAAATTAGAAAGGCTTTGTTGCAAAATACAAAATATTTGAATAGATTTAAATTGTGTGTAGATTCATCGATTCTGCATAAATAAATGATTCTATTTTGTGGATTGTACCTAAGCACTTGTCTTCAAAGTCTTTGGGTCATATTATTCTTTCTTTCTTTCTTTCTTTCTTTCTTTCTTTCTTTCTTTCTTTCTTCTTTGCTTGTTGATTCGTCTCCCCATTTGGCATTGCACTTTTTCTTTTTTTGTTATATTTTCCTCCATAAGAAAGGTATGTTTCCAAATACCAGAATGCATATTTGTAACTGAGCTTTGTATTGTATTGTGAAAGCCTTCTATACCATTGTTCGTTTTTGGCATATTGTCACATGTCTGTTGATAGATGTTCCAAGTTCTATGGGAAATGTGGGTTCAAATCTCTGTACCACTGTCTGGATCATTATGAGGGCTAAGATTTATTTAATATAAAAATGGGCCTGGGTGGGTCAGTTGGTTAAGCATCTGCCTTCAGTTCAGGTCATTATCCCAGAGTCCTGGGATTGAGCCCTGCATTGGGCTCCCTGCTCAGCAAGGAGTGTGCTTCTCCCTCTTCCTCTGCCCCTCCCCCCTGCTCATTTTCTCTCTCTCTCAATAAAAAAATAAAATCTTTTTTTAAAAAAATGGGAGTACTGCATCAATGGAGAAATGAAACCAAACACTCAACCAGCTGGTAAAACCAACAAGCTGTCAAACCAAATTGTCACCCAGCCATTTTTTTTACCTTTAATGGCAAAATTGCCTTATAATCAATTAGTTATGTGGCTAAAATCCTTGCCACAAAAATGCTTGCTGCAAAGATGTTTACTGTGAAACTACCTAGAACTGATAAAACACTCTTCTTCCTTGCCTTCTTCTGCTTTAGGAACTATAAAACCAACCACTAATTTCCCAGGGTCCCTTACAGCTAGTAGTAGCCAGTGATAAAATGATCATTAATGACCACTGAAATGTAAGCACATCAAGGTTCTAGGGACACAAGGTGCCTGGGTGGCTTAGTCAGTTAAGCTTCTGCCTTGGGCTCAGGTCATGATCCCAGGGTCCTGGGATCAAGCCCTGCTTTGGGCTCCCTGCTCAGTGGGGAGTCCGCTTCTCCCTCTGCCCCTCCCCCTGCTCATGCTCTTGTGCTCTCTCGCTCTTGCTGTCTTGCAAATAAATAAATAAAATCTTTTAAAAAAGAGGTTTTAGGAACAAAAATTGTCCATTAAAGAAAGGATTCAGGCATGGCTAGCACAGGCCTCCCGCCCAACCTCATTTTTTTCTGTCTAGAATGTAGAAATTATATTTGGCAATTCAACAACCATCTTGTGTCCAGAAGGCAACAACTACAGGGGGGGAAAAGCCAATAAACTTACTAAGGATGGCACAAAGAAAATGCAAAAAGAATCTGAGCTCCTAATGGTGATGTGGAGCAGATGACCCAACATCAGCAACTTCTTGTTATATGAGGAAATTAACCCCTATTTGTTTAAGACCCTCTAGCCTCATTCTGTCACAGGTGAAAGCATTCTTAGCTGGTACAGAGATGTACTGTGGTTTACTATAAAGCCTCTGATATAATATGGATGATTACAACAACTGTGGGTCAAGAATAGCAATTTGAATTGAAAGATATCAATAACAGAAATATCAATCAGTAATAAAGGTAATTAAAAGAGAGTAAAGTTAAACAAAAAAAAAGAGTAATGGTAAAAATGACTGTAAAAGCTAAGAATTACCCTGGTGATTACTGTAATAACTACTGTAGGAGTGAATTAGGAACACGTTGAAAAAATGCAACTGTTGGGGTTGGGAACATATATGCAGAATAGAGAAAACAACTAAATAAAATGTTTATCAGCAGAGGTATTTCACAAAATAAGATATCCAAATGCCCAACAAATATATGCAAGTCTTCTTATTTTTATTCATCAAGGATATGCAGATTAAAACCCGAGTGGGGATACTACTACATACCTACCACATGGCTAAGGTGAAAAAGATAGACAATATCAAATACTGAAGAAGATGTGGAGTAATTAGAACTCTCATACACTACTTACTGATGGGAATGTACTTTTGTACAACCATTTTGGAAAACTTTTTGGAAATATCTACTAAAACTAAACATATGTTCATCCTACAACCGAACAATTGTACTCCTGGGTATTTATACAGAGCAATATATATATATATATATATATATATATATATATATATTCACCAAAAATAATGTATAAGAATGTTCTTGGCAGCATTATTCATTATAGGCCTAAACTGGAAATAATCCAAATGTTTAGTAGCAGGTGAATGGATAAATCAACTGTGGTATATCCATACAATGGAACAGTACACAGCAATGAAAATGAATAAACTAGACTCTATGCAATACCAGGAATCTCACAAATATAATGCTCAATGAAAGAAGCCCACCACAAAGAATACATAATGCATGCTTTATTTGTATGAAAGTCAAAAAGGCAAAATCAACCTATGCTGTTAGAAGTCAGCACAGTGGTTACTTCTGGCACATGTTGAGAGGTAGTAAACAGAAGGAGGCACAAAATGTGTACCAGGGTAAAACTGATGTTCTGTTTCTCAATCTGGGTGCCAGTATTATAGTTAGGTTCATTTTCTGAAAATTTCTTGGGCTATACACTTATGACTTGTAAAATAAAAAGTTTACCTAAAATGATTATCAGAGAACATTCCTCCAAAGACGGACTTGAACAAAATTTCACTCCAATTAGATGTTTCAAATAACAAGAAGACATATCCTTGACCCCCATTTGCCATCAAGAAATCCAAGATATTCCATTAAGAACAAATGTGCTACAACTAGATAGGGTGCACTAATCTCTACAGAAGAACTCCCAAATGATCAAATTCAGCACTGATAAAGCACCAACAATCTCTATAAGCAAGAGAAAAGCTCATTCATCTAAACCTTCAAGTATTTGTTTAGCACCTACCAAGAACCAGACACTGTCCTAGGAGCTAGAGATTCAACAATGAGTAAGATAGATACAAGTCTTGCCCTTATGCCTTAGCAACATATTTATAGATATGTCTCCTCAGGCAAGGGAAACAAAAGCAAAACTAAACTATTGGGACTACACCAAAATAAAAAAACTTTTGCACAGCAATGAAAACCATCAACAAAGCAAAAAGGCAACTCACTGAATGGGAGAAGATATTTGCAAATGATTTATCTAATAAAGGTTTAATATCCAAAATATATAAGGAACTTATACAACTCAACACCAAAAAAATAAGTATCTGTTAAAAAATGAGTAGAGGACCTCAATAGATATTTTTCCAAAGAAAACATGGATTCCAACAGATACATGAAAAGATGCTTAACATCACTAATCATCAGGGAAATGCAAATCAAAACCACAGTGACATATCACTTTATACCTGTCAGAACAGCTAGATCAAAAGGACAAGAAATAACAAGTATTGGTGAGGAAGTGGAGAAAAGGGAACCCTCATGCACCCTTGGTAGGAATGTAAATTGGTGCAACCACTATGGAAAATGGTATGGAGAGTCCTCAAAAAATTAAAAATAGAAATACCATATGATCTAATAATTCCATTACTGGGTATTTGCCCAAAGAAAACAAAAACAGTAATTCAAAAAGATGTCTGCACCACTATGTTTATTGCAACATTATTTACAATAGCCAAAATACAGAAGCAACTTGAACACTACAGAAGTGTTCAATGATAGCGTGTCCAATGATACACACACAGACCCACATGCATACAAAACTATACAGCCATAAAAAAGGATGAGGTCATACCATTTTACAACAACATGGATGGACTTAAGAGGTATTAGGCCAAGTGAAATAGGTCAAACAGAAAAAGACAAATATCATATAATTTTACTTACATGTAGATTCTAAAACACAAAATAAGCAAAACAGAAACAGACTCATAAATACGAACAAACTCGTGATTACCAAAGAGGAGGGGGGTGGGAAGATAAATGAAATAGGTAAAGGGGATTAAGAGCTACAAAATTCCAGTTATAAAACAAGTCACAGGGATGAAAAGTATAGCCTAGGGAATATAGTCAATAACATTGTGATAACCTTGTGTGGTAACAGATGTTACTGAGTAACACTGAGTACTGTATAGAATTGTCAAGTCAATATGTTGTGCACCTGAAACCAATATAACATTATATATCAGCCATATTTAAATAATAATTTTTTTTCAAAAGTCTTACCCTTCTAGATCTTCTCTTGCCCACCCTAAGTTCCTGAATAAAGAACACCTAGGAAATTCATTTGTTTATTCTGGAAGATTCTATCAAAAGTATGACTGAGACTATCTCCTTTTAACTCCTTGAATCACTTTCATTTGGTAAGTCCACTAACCATAATTAATTATGAAGTGAATCTAAAAGTGTATAAGGGTGTGTGTTGTTTGTAAAAACAGACAGATTCAAACTATTTCCTAGAGTTTGTCCGTGAGGGCAGACCACACAGTGTGTGAGATTATCTAAGAGACAAAAATATGATTACATGAAGTGAATGAAGTGACTGTGGAACACTATAGGAGTGTGTATGAGTAAGGGTGTGTGTAACTAAGGCAGATACCTTGTGACTAACATAGACCTACTTCCATTAATAATTTTTTTCTTAAACTTCCTCATCGTTCCCCAAGATCTCGTGATGTAAAGGAAGTCAGTTGTTTCATGTGACATTACCACATCCAGGCTCCTGTGGTATGTTCTCAGGACTGGCACAGAAGCAATCTAATTCAGGCTCAAGGCTACATCAGAGTTATTCTCTATTCAAAGGATTAAACCCTCAAAACTGGTCCCTGATCCTTCCTGGAGCATCTCTTCCTCTCCCCACTGAGAACTGCTGAACACCATCTGTGCTAATAGGCTCTGTGACTCAAAACCCATCCACCTCCTAGGATGACTGTGGACGCCTGTTCTCAAAAGGTCTTTAAAAATAGAAGAGATATTCTCTTCTGGGGGTATGGCTTAGGCAGAGCTCTAGCCAAAAAGATGATGGTCCTTTCATAAAGTCCTCTCAAGAACCATTTATTGGGGCGCCTGGGTGGCTCAGTTGTTAAGCATCTGCCTTCGGCTCACGTAATGATCCCAGGGTCCTGGGATCAAGCCCTGCGTCAGGCTCCCTGCTTAGCAGGGAGCCTACCTCTCCCTCTGCCTGCCGCTCCCCCTGCTCATGCTCTCTCTGTCAAATAAATAAATAAAATCTTTAAAAAAAAAAAAAGAACAATTTATCAACAGAATTATTGAGTTTGGAGATTAGGAGGGCTTGTTGCCTCCTGTTAAAGTCTATCCTTTGCATATAGCATAATTTTCCCTTTTAAGCAATGTTATTCCCTATCTTGTCTACCTGGCAGAGTCAGCCTCAGAGATCTAGTTTAAGTAGCATCTTCCCAGTCTAGAGTTGAATATACTTTCCTTTGACCCCTCCAAACTTATAAAGAATATTATGGCTCACACATTTTTCAGTCCCTTAAGGAATATGAGGTTTTCAAGACAGAGACCATAACTGTCCATTGTCATGTCCAGTGGCAAGGAGGAGGTATGGCGTGCAGTAGGTATTCAGTAGCCATTTATTGAATAAATGCCAGTGACCAGGTAATACTTACAAAATGGAACTTGTGGAAAATAGTTTTCCCCCAAACACAACTTAGGAGCTGCCTTAATAAATGGGACAGAAATTAAGCCATTTACCTCATCTTTAAAAAAAAAAAAAAATCTCCTGTCTAGCTCTCTTGTGAAAACTCATTCCCTATGTGATAGACTCAGAGTATTTCTTTTTTTTTAATTTCTTTTTTTTTTTGGAATCATTTATGAGCAAAAATGCAAACACTATACATTTCTTTCTTTTTTTTCATTCTTTGGGTCATTTATTTATTTTTAAATTATTATTATGTTATGTTAATCACCATACATTACATCCTTAGTTTTTGATGTAGTGTTCCATGATTCACTGTTTGCATATAACACCCAGTGCTCCATGCAATACGTGCCCCCCTTAATACCCATCACCAGGCTAACCCATCCCCCCACCCTCCTCCCCTCTAAAACCCTCAGTTTGTTTCTCAGAGTCCATAGTCTCTCATGGTTCGTCTCCCCCTCCGATTTCTTAAAGAGCTTAGGAGAGATGAGCAGAAAGTTGAATGTCATTAAAAATACTCTTGGGAATTTTCCCTCCAACTGATCAGGGAGATAAAGAGTAGAAAGGAGATTCAGGGTTAAATTGAAGGAGGGGAAAAAAAATAACTTCAAGAATCCAGGTGCATTGAATATAATAATTATCATTCTTTGGATAATAAGGAGAGCTGAGAAATAAAAAGGTTATTTGTTTGGATTCAAGACCTGTTATGATTGATATTTTGCTTAGCCAACAAATTGGCCCTTTAAGATGTTTTTGAAATAGAACAGCTTAATTTCAAGGTTTCACTCTGAGCACAAGGAGAGTAGCCCCTGATGTCTGGGAGCTGGCTTACTGGGCTGACTTAGTGCTATCAGCTAGACTTTGGTGTTACCAGCAGCTGGCCTGGCATGTACAGCTAGGTTTTAGCGTTCTGTTGAACAGAAGATATCTCACAGAACACTATTATAACACATGGCCACTATGTACCCATGATGGAGCAAGACAGAAACTAAACTGCTGCATAATTACCCTTGAACCAGACAAAAACAGAAACACCGTCCTAACCACAAAAATGAGCCAACATCCCCTATCCCAGTAAAAATGAGTGACTGCTGCTTCTTTACCGACTATAGCTTTAGCCTTGGGCTATTCTTCCCTCTTCCCCTGTTAATGTACTCAGTTATAAAATTGCCCTAGCTCCCTGAAACCACTCAAACCAGAGGAAAGCTGTCCCTCCTTAAATACTCCTGAAAACACCTAGCAATAACCCAAAGTCTAGAAGTCCTTTCTTTTTTTTAAGTTTTTTTTTTTAATTAATTTATTTTTTAGAGAGGGAGACAGAGGGAGAAGCAGGCTCCGCACTGAGCAGGGAGCCCGAGGCGGGGCTCGATCCCAGGACCCTGGGATCATGACCGGAGCCGAAGACAGACGCTTAACAACTGAACCACCCAGGCGCCCCTAGAAGTCCTTTCTTAAACTCTCTTACTGAGATGCCTCACAGTTCCCCAAGGAGAGTGTTCTCCCTTGTGGCAATAAGGAATAATAAAGCAACTTGTTCAGCTTTAGATGTCTTACTAGTGGCTGGAGGTTATTTTTCCCTAACATATTTGTTCACTAAAGTACAAACCGACTTCTCCAGGATGCCTGAGTTTAACACTAAGATATTAAACACTCTTGATCAAATTTTATAATTCTATCATATTATCACAATTTATTGTTATTGATCCCACCTCAGTTAAATAGAGCATTTTAGAAACCCCCAGAAGAAATGATGATGGAATAAATTATTTTCAAGGAATGAGAAAAAGAGAATGAACAATTGTAGTTTCTTTTTTCTTGCTTTCCTTGTATAAGGAAGAGACACAGTCTTCCGTAACACAGAGCTCTGGGATTTAGTGGTCACATTTATCCCATGGAAGCCATGCATTTTCCTAAGATCCTCAGCTCATCAACCTTAATTTTTACCAGTTCTCTCTGCACAGAGATTTCTCCATGGAACTGTCACAATATTTTTCTTCCCACTTAGAATACCAGAGCGTTTTCTCTTCCCAAGTTCTTCTTGTGTTGTATAATGTGACAGGCTATTAAATCAATTTCTCTTCCTCTCTTTAAATAAAGCACAGAATCAAATTCAGTAATCATTCAGAATTAAAGGTGACAACCTGGAGATGTTTGGATTCATTCTTCAGTTCTAATACACACACATACACAACCCATATCTCTCTCATGCACCTTCTCACTCTCTTGCAAACTCACACATATACACTGTACAGTAATAAAAACATGTTAGTAATTAGTTGTTTTAATTATGTTAGTATTTTATTATTATATCAGTCATGTTATAGTAATAACTGCAATGCATATTAATATGAAGATAATTTTGGAAGGAGGACAGAAATGTGATTAGAATCACTTAAGTGAGCTCAAATGATGCCAAACCATGGAAATACTCATTCTGTGACTGGGGCAAGATAGGATGACAAAGGTCTAGGGAGTCTTTATATTAAACTCTAAATATTTAAAATATTTTTTAAAGTTTTGCTTCCTTTGCATCTCACAGTTTGCTGGTAGGGACACATTGGTAGGATTATTCCAGATAAGCAATCGAGTAAGCCTAAAATATGTCTATGTCCTTTGACCCAAAACTTCCCCTAAGGAAACAATCATTAGTGTTCACAGAATTAAATTAATAACAACATTGATGGCTAACAGGTAATTCTAAGTGCTAGGCACTGTTGTGTGTTAAATCTCCAAACAACCCTACAAAGCAGGTACTTTCATTGTTTCCATTACACAGATGGGAAAATGGAGGAAATTGACTTGTAGAAGATGTTATAACTGGTAAATGGAGCTGGGATTAAAATACAGACAGTCTGTAACCAGGGTCACACTGTACCAGTACCAGTATACTACACTGTCTTCCACCATTAGAAGCATGTTCATTACAGAATTATTGATGCAACCTGCTCATCCTCCAGTGCTGTCATAACCGACCCAGTTGCTCAGACCTTTGGGATCATTCTTGATTTCTCTTTTTCTCATACCCTATATCCAATCCGTCAGCAAATTTATAGAGTTTACTTTTTAAATACATCTCATTTCCAATCACTTCGCATCCTCTCCATGGTTACCACCTGATCTAAACTATTACATCTCTCACTTGGACAAATACAGTAGCTCCTGAGTCGTCTCCAGCATCTGTTCCTGTCTCTGTACACTGTCTGGCACAGCAAACAGTGTTATCTCTTAAAATGCAAATCACTTCCCTGCTCCAAGCCTTCCAATTCTGCCCCCTCCATCACATCATAAAAATCCAGGATCCCTACATGGCTTATCAGGCCCTACACATTCTGGTCCCTAGCTGCCTCTCCCACATCATTTCCTCTCTCTTGTCTTCATATCCCACTGCTCTTTAGCCTTCTTGCCTCCCTGCCATTCCTTAAATAGGGCAAGAAATGTCTGTGTCGTGGCCTCTGCTCATGTTTCTATTAGAACACTCTTTCCCTATATCCAGATGGCTCACTCCCTTCCCTGTTCAAGGTTCTGTGCAATACTGCTTCCTCAGAGAAGCCCTACCTAACCACGATTTTTAAACCATCATTCCCTACTCTCATCCCTGCTTCATTTTCCTTCATAGCAATTTCTACTACCTATCATAGATTATATACCCATAGGATGAACTTCTTTCTTGCCAGTAAATTATGGTGGAAATATGGGGCATCTGGGTAGCTCAGTCAGTTGGGTGCCTGCCTTTGGCTCGGGTAGTGATCTTGGGGTCCTGGGATTGAGTCCCTTGCTGAGCTCTCTGCTCAGCGGGGAGCCTGCTTCTCCCTCTTCCTCTGCCCTTTCCCCTGCTTGTTCTCTCTCTCTCTCTCTCTCTCAAATAAATGAATGAAATCTTTAAAAAATTGTTGTGGAAATAGGTATTTGTATTGGAAAATGTGGTTGGGCAAATTTCAAGGTAGCAGGTAGGGAGTGGGCAAGAGAAGGATTGAGTAGCAAGAAGATGAAGATGATCGTTTGGGCTTTGGTGGCTCCCACAGCCATGGGTGGGTACACTGCCTTCTACAAAGGGGCAGGACTTGGAATAATGGGCACCAGCGGGAGAGGGCTCATGGTACAACCAAAGGATTCGAAATCTGAAGTCAGAAGATTTTAAAGGGCAGGTTCCACACATACTGAGCATATAATCTTGGAAATATTGGTATGACATCCCTGATTTCCAGTTCTCTCATCTGTAAATTGGCAATAAAAATAATAGCACTGAGTTTAATAGCCTGCTGTGAGGAATCAGTGAAAGAAAATGTGGGAGGACTATGTATATAGCAGTGACTCTTATTTTTTTGTTCTTCTTCTGTGTTATATCTAGTGGTGGTAGCATATATACACATTATTCTTTAAATTGGTGTTCAAAAAGAGAGAGATTTCAATTTATACTTTCTCTCTGTTGTACTTCTTGAAGCTATGCATTTCCAAAGTTTAACACTCAGAGCAAAAAGTTGTTCCTTTTATAGGTTCTATATTTGCATCTTTCAAACTTCTAAGACAGTACCCTAAATGGGAATTAAGATGATAAATATGCCTACATTCCCCCTATCTACACCCTTTAGGGTAATCACAGGATCATGAAATAATAAGATGGGGCTCCTTAGTTAATCAACGTTTCCAGATACAGATTTTTTTTAACTGTGCGGCAAACATTCAACACGCTTCCTATGAAAAGGATGGGTTTCTGTCCTTGGCCAGAGACTGCCTACTCATGGAAGGCCACATGCAGATGCTCTAATCAGAAGTTCTAGCCTTCCATGAGAGTGAAGACACCTTCAGATGATTTGAAACCCCAGACTTAAAACACTCCCAGCCTCCCAGGCTTCTCCATGGACACCCTGGATGTTGTGGAACAGGGATAAGCCATCCCCACTGTGCCCTATCTGGGGTCTCAATGCACAGAATCCAGGAACCTAACAAAATGCTTGTTTTAAGATATTAAATTTGGGGCTAACTGTTATGCAAGAGTAGTCACTGGAACAAACTGGCTGAAGTAAATCTTCAATAGGGGCAAACTTAAATAGGTTCCCCCACCATAAATCCATTTCTCAGAAGCTGTTTTGAAAATGCTAGAATTCACCAAAGGACGGTTAAAAGGGTATTTTATTTCTTGCTTTGACACACAGTTCTAAATCTGTAATCTTTCAACAAGAAGAACTAGTCTTCACATTCAAGAAGAAAATATCTAAGACTAAATTCTCAGATGAGAAGAAGCTCTTGAAAATTCAAGCGTTTGAAAACAGACTAGCTAAGATAGAAAGTTGAACATTTCTGAGCTTGAATCAAGATAAAATATTTAATTAGCCTATAAACTGACCCCGAGAACATCTGGAGTTTCCAGAAGGGAACATTTTTCTTCCCCGAGACTGCCAAATAGTGGGGGCTAGTGTTGGCACAGAAGTAAAGATGGAAAGGAAAGGTTATCAGCATGGCCTCTCTGATTCCCATCTACAGATTAGAGAGTGTGGACAAGTGGAATGAAGTCGCTCTGAGTCTATCCATCTTCTTCAAAATGCAGGGAATGCGGGAGATGAGGAGGCTCAGATAATTCCTGACCAGGGGGGCCCAAACCAATTGATCAAAGTGGCTAGTCAGAGACTTGGCAGAAACTTAAAAAGACTTGCTCAACTTTCTCACTGAAAGTTCTCTTATTTTACACAGATGACTGGGACCAAGAATTCTTGTTGGGCTGGGCGGCAGACAAAAACCTTGTCGCTGACATTAAACACACCTTGAAGTAGGTATTACCTGATAATATCTTCCACATACTGAGCACTAAGTGATGTGCTAACCACATTAGTTTTGCACACATTATCTCCTTTAAACATTACGGCATTTAATATTTATTAAGCACTCACTATGACCCAGGTACTATGTTAAGCAACTCTTATGTATCATCTCATTTCATCCTTATAATAAACCCACAGAATAGGGTTTTGTTGTTTATGTCTCTGTGTTACAGTTGTTGAAAACACAGGCCCAGGGGAGCTGAGGCATTTGCATGGGGTTATATGGATAACCCAAGTGGTCTGATTCCAGAGTGGGTAGCGTCTGCCACTTCACTGTCCTGCCAACCAATCATTTCATCCCGACAACAACCATTTAGACACAAGGCAGTAGGAGAGGCTCAGAGATGTTAGGTGACTTTCTAAGGTCACATAGTTAACCTGTGCTGGACCTCAGACATGTTTCCAAACTGACTTCAGATCAACCCTGGCTGCTATGGCAGCTTCCTAAGTTGTCAGCCACAGGGATTTCAGGTTGATGGGAAGCCTGGTGAGTCACAGCATAAATAATTTAGTTTGATTCTGAGCTAAACCAGCTCTGGGTCTATTTTTCTTCTTATGGTACTCTTTCTCTGACTTTTCAAATGCTTTTTAGCTATAGAACCATATTTTCCTCTTTTAAAAATCTTACACAGAGCCCCAATATACTTAACAGTTAAAGGTGAATTTTATTAGTATAAATATATTTTATAAGTTGAAATTTCTGTCACTTACTATCATGTCAATCAATGGGAACACAGTCTGAGAGTTAGTGGTTTCTGATGTGTTGAAACTTATCTATGTTGTTTCCAGTTATAGATTTTATTTTAAGATTTTATTTATTTATTTGAGAGACAGAGTGAGTGACAGAGAGCATGAGAGGGAAGAGGATCAGAGGGAGAAGCAGACTCCCACTGAGCAGGGAGCCCGACGTGGGGCTCAATCCCAGGACCCTGGGATCATGACCTGAGCCAAAAGCAGACACTTAACTGACTGAGCCACCCAGGCATCCCCTATTATATATTTTAATTAACACATATTCTAGGAAATGTTCTATATCTTGATTGGGATAGGAATGGTGTATATATTTGTCAAAACTCATCCAACTACACATCCAAAATGGATGTTTTCGGTTGTATTGTATATGCAAATTGCCTCATCAAAGTTGAGAAGCAAAAAATTATATTTATATTTATATCTCAAACAAATGTTTGCAGTACCTCCAAAGTAGCTAGCCTCACCTCCACCCCGAACACTATAAGTTTTCAAAGCAAATGGTGTGGTGCCACAGAAGGGGGAAGTTGAGAATTATTTGTGCCCTAAGGTTCAAATAAAGACACTGAAGAACTTCAATCTCATTCCAGGAATTTCTATGGCCTTTAAAAAAAACCATTTAATCCCTGGAAGCCAAAAGAAAAACTTGCTACCTCATCTACACTCAGGTTGCTTTTGAAGCAGACAGAGGAGAAAACTAGGTGGAAGGAAGCTGTGTTTTCACATAATTTACTCTGTTTCCCATAGTGTCGCCTCCAGGAGGAGGATAAATCCAGATGGAGCCTGTGGTGGAGAAGACAAAGGGAGACCCAGTCTCCAACACTAATCACAGCTACAGCTCTCCTTGCCCCTCTCCACTTCATTCTCCCCAGAGGAAAAAAAGGGGAGAGGAGAAAAGAAGAGGAACACAATGAAGTTTAAAACCAAAAAGATATAAGGAAGGAAACAGAGGCTAATAGAGCCTGGTTACAAACTATTCCATGGTCCGCATCCCTGAGTAGCAGGAAATGTCCTTCAAGCATCATCTTGTGACTCCATTCAACACAGTTACAAATGCTGCCTGTACAATTTACATACAAACACATAAAGAAAATCCCTTTAAATCAAACTTCTTTCCTCAGGCACCAATAATCCTATCTCCCTGTAAAAAGAATAAGCCTAATGGTGTAGGTGAGTTCTAACAAGCTGGGTTCTTATTCTCCTGAATGAGAACAGGATGCTCCTAAAAAATCCAAGGGTCTTTGGAGGTGAACATGGGGAAATGGACCATGGAAATGAAATCCCTCTACTTACTGAATGACAAGCATCTATTTTGTCAGGCATTGTGGTAGATACTAGGGATGCAAAATCAATAAAATGGTCACAACTTTAGTGTCCCAGAATTTACTTTTCCAGTAACCTCCAGATATGTCTCTACTGCTCTGCCTCTAGTCACAGGGCTCTTTTAATTGCATCAGTCCTCAGAAAACTTGAGGACCAAACAGCACATCTTTATTTAGAAAATAGTTCTCGAAAAATGACTAATGTTCCATAATCATAGCACTTATTGAGCACTAACTCTATTGTATAACTATTATAAGCATTCTACAAGCATTGAATCATTTAATCCTCATAATGGTAGGTAGGTACCACGAGGACCCATTTTATAGGTGAGGAAACTGAGGCACAAAAAGGTTTGGGTAATTTGCCCATTGGCACAGCTAACGATGGCTGGGCTAGGACTTCAATCTGGATAGTCTGGCTCAAAAGCCTGAGCTCAGGACCCCTATGCCATGCACCACTGGAAACCTTTAGGAAGTTAGGCTGAAACCATATAAATTGGGGGATGAGGAGGATGTTTCAAGTATTTACCAAAACAAACTTAATTTCTGTTTAAAAAAGATAAATGCAAACAGTTTTAAATGAATTTTTGGATTCTCTGAGGAGAGGAAAACATGTTCATTTTATTTTTTAAAGATTTTATTTATTTATTTATTTATTATTTATTTATTATTTAGAGTGCACATGAGTCGGGGGAGGGGCTCAGGAAGAGGGAGAGTGAGAATCTCAAGCAGACTCCATGCTGAGCAAGGAGCCTAACACAGGGCTCAATCTCCGGACCCTGAGACCATGACCTGAGCCTTAACCAAGAGTCAGGCACTCAACCAACCAAGCCACCCAGGCACCCCAAACATGTTCACTTTAAATGACTAGTCGTAGTATATGGAGTTACTCTACTTCCACAGAGGCCAGGATGAGAGAGGCACAGAGTCACGGCATGGGCACTGGAGACACAAAGACCTGGGTTCAAATCCTATAGCCACTTCTTCCTCTTCTCATGACCCTGGACATGTACTTTCCTATGTGTCAGTTTCCTTACCTGTAAAATGGGTAAGCACGGCCTCCATCTCCTAACACTGTCATGAGGATTATATGAATATGCATGTCAAGGCATGGCACACGGCATACACTTGGAGAATGGCACTCATCACTCTCAGAGGAGGGCAATGAAGGAGAGTGGCAGCATAGTTTCTGGAGTCAGACCGTCTGGGTTCAATTTGCTATGACTCCTCAACTTACACTTGGGTGCCCTGTGAGCAAATTACTTAATTCTTCGGTGCCTGTCTATAAATATACATGGGGCTCAACTTGTAAGGTTGTTTTGGTAATTATATATGATGACATATATAAAGTACTTAGGGGATTACCTGATACAGCATAGAACTACTCCCAACATATTTTAGGGTATTGTCATTAATAAACCACCATTACAGTTAATTAAAGAGAGTAAACGGATTGAAATTACAAAGGAAATATGATTTTCTGAAGGAGATGTTTATCAGCAGTGAGTCTAGTTAAACATTAAAATAGGAATCCAGGAACCGTGTTGAAAATATCTCTTTGGAGATGCTGAAGGTGGTTTAAGCTAGAGGCAGAGGGCTATAAATCATAAATGCCTCCTGAAGCTCTTTCACTGAACTGCAACATCATCTTCCAAATACTCATCATGAGACTCAAGTTACCTTATAAAAAGCCATGGCGACCAGTGCTCCATCTGAATGTCCAGAGTGTGGCTCACCGGTTCTTCAAGCTAAGGAGGCAATGAAGCCCATGTCATGGCACTTTCCTCTCTTCAGGAGGCCAGACATTATTCTTCCAGCTGATAAATCATCTCCAAGGCACATAAGAGAATTACTAGTCAACATAAAATTTCAGTTCAAATTGTTTTTTCCTCATTGGCAGCCCCCAATTTCCCATCTTGTACAATTCCACTCTCAGACACCATGACATTGACAATTTTGAACTGTCATTGATAAGAAAGCCACTCGGCATCTTATGAAATGCAGTTTCCTTCTTTCCCTTTACTCAAGTGCATCACTTACCCACAGTGCACATCAGGCAACTGCAGTCTCTGGTCAAAGGGATGTGACCACGGGTAGCAGGTCACATCAGAGGAAATTTTTTTTTGATTCTACTGTTTCATTTTGTTTTCTATTCAGTGCTTGAGTAAGATTTCTAATACCACCTTTTTAAAGGAAAGAAATTATTCTTGGGCGCCTGGGTGGCTCAGTCAGTTGAGCGACTGCCTTCGGCTCGGGTCATGATCCTGGAGTCCGGGGATCGAGTCCCGTATCGGGCTCCCTGCTCAGCAGGGAGTCTGCTTCTCCCTCTGACCCTCTTCCCTCTCATGCTTTCTATCTCTCATTCTCTCTCTCTCTCAAATAAATAAATAAAATCTTTAAAAAAAAAAAAGAAATTATTCTTATTAAGGATGTGTTAAGGGGGAGGTAGAAAGCAGCATCAAAGTTTTCCCAAATGGGAGTTTGATGCAAAACCACAGTGAAAACTTTGTGAACAACTGAAGAAAACTGTTGTTTTTTATCATCTGTCATGCCAGGTGTTAGCCACCGAAACGCTGCAAGTCAGCAAAGTGTGAACAGAAAATCTTTTGAAAAAGGAGGCTGTTTGTGATATCCAGAGGGAATACTATAATTGACTTAATTTTTCATTTCTCAGCTCTTGTCTGTGTCCACAATTGAGAGGTTAACTGTGTTTCAGAGACCCAGCCGGGGCAGGTGCAGGAGTATAGTCTAAACTCAAATACCCACATGGGCCATGCTAGTAGGGTAAGTGAATAGGGCAGGCCAGCCAGCAGGAAGCACGAGGACAAACCCATATTCTGGAAATGGACAGCTGCTACCCACGTCCAGCTCACTGCTACATGAGGACTAAAGGTTCCACGTTGCAGGTTTTCTGGTTACTCACAGAAACCAGAAATCTGGAGTTTTAGGAAAAAATATCCCGATCTTTAGGTTTTGTCAAACAATACAAACTTGCTTGAACACCATGAAGGGCAAACAAAATATGTGTAGGACTAGACAGAGGCCTCCAGCTTCAAGCTTGCAACCTCTGGTAAGGTAAAGAAAATATAGATTGATTCAACCAGATTCCAGCTTTACTACTTAGTAGCTGTGTGACCTGGGGTGATTCATTAATTCTGCTCAGCCTCAGTTTCCTTACCTGGTTAGTAGAGTCTCCCTTGCAGGGTAGTTGTGAGGATTAGAAAGAATATATATATAAAATGATGGATTTCCTAGCTGGTATCAACATATATAGATGGCTACTTTATTTTGTCATCACACAAATGTTCATATTTGACCCATTTTTATAAAATTCTAGCACTCTGGAGCAACAGAAAATTGATTATCTCTGTTACAGGTTACAGATAAAACTACTGTTTTGGGCTTCATCTTCGTGGCTCATACACAAAAGGGTGATGGCTCACTCCTGTCCCAAACATGAAAGAGACTTGTTCCACAAAACTTGTCCATGAGCCCTCTAGCCAAAAGCGAATTGCTGAAAAAGTTCACATCCTATTTATTTGGGAGTGGACAAGCTCACCACCACGGACTCATATTTCCCCTTGTATGCAATTAGCAGGGATGTCAGATCATATGGCAACCACACCCTACACCTGGGTGGGCTGGGAGTGGGGGGAGAGGATGGAAAATAAGGAGCGATGAAAGAGCAATTTATTTTTACCCCCACTGCACATAATGGTAGCCTATGCACCCTTGAGATGGTCTGCTATAATATAAGCCCTGATGGTTGTTTTGTTTTGTTTTTGTTTTGTGGTAAAGCAGGTACTGATTTAAGCTTCCATTGTTGAGGCTTTCAAAACCTTTTTTTTTTTTTAAGGTTTTATTTATTTATTTGACAGAGAGAGAGAGCACAAGCAGGGGGAGCTGAGCAGGGAGTCAGACACGGGGCTCCATCCTGGGACCCTGGGATCATGACCTGAGTGGAAGGCAGCCGCTTAACCAACTGAGCCACCCAGGAGCCTCTTGTTGAGGCTTTCAAAGAGGCATCCACTTCAAAGAGGACTATCACAAATAAACACATAGCCAGCCACAGGACTTCATAAAGAGCCAGGCCACCTCCCCGTACTGATGCTCTTTTGTTTCAGGAATCCTGATTGATTTTGAAAACTGACCATTTGGGCCCCTTGTTTTTCCCTTCCTGCACTTTAAATTCCCGTTCCTACATTTTAAATTCATCAATAATGAGTGAGCCTGCCAAACCCTAGGTCCCCACCCTCAACTCCAATGAAAACAGAACCCTTGGCCTGTGTGCACATTCCCTTTCTTTCATTCTACCCAAGATCTCGCTGTGTGGCCCCAGGTATGCTATCTAATTTCCAGGTCCTGTAAGTAATAAACTTTTATTTTTTCAAAGTTCCCTGATGGTTATTGTTGAAAGACATCTTGCAATCATAATAAGAACCACAGTGTGGGTCCACCACAACATTGGTTTTAGATAGGCCGAAATGCCATAAAACATCTACCCACCACATGTTCAGGGAAAGGAAGAGTTAATTTAAGTCCCTACCTTGTTTTGAGCCTTCTTCCTAAAGGTCTTATGACCATTTGAACCTAAGACCCGAGTTCTTCCAGGAGACTCTGAGGTCTTTGAGGTACAAACCATGTTCTTTCATGATACCCAATAGATGCTGGAGTTAATTTCAATGTCTGTAACATCTTTTCATGAAACTATTATAAGAAGCAAATGAAATAATATAGGTAGATGGCCTTTGTGAATATAAATATATGGATATATTATTATAAGTAATAATAACCTCACATCGGAGTACACTGATAACACTTTGATAGGACCACACTAATTATTACTATCAATTACTGTTATTACCAACAATCTACCAAAGCACATGATTCATATAAGATGCTTTCATATGGAATTGATCCAAAGGTAATTAGTTTTCAGAATTACTTAGAGCTTCCTATGGAGGAACTCAATAACTGTGTATTAAAATTAAATGTAAAAATGGAATTAAAGGTGACTGGAGCAACATCCTTATAGTGTAGGAATAATTTGACTTTTTCCCATGAAGACAAGTACATGCCATTTGTAGGATTTCTGCAAAGGGCCATGGCATTGTGGGCTTAGCTCTGCTTCATGGAGGACACCCAGTGCGCCCAGGGGATGGAACATACACTCCAGGAAACTAAATAAAAGTCTTTAGTTCACAAGGGCCCTTGTCTTTTGAATCCCTGAGAAGTGTTAATTTTTCCCACTTGGCTATGATGTTTACTTCCAAAAGTTAGTGAACACATCAGTACTCACCAGAAGGCAGGAGGAAATTATTTCCACTGTTCACTGGAAAATGAAATGTGGTCTATATACCATTACACTATACTGCACCATATACAATTGCCATCATGCAGGGAAGATTTTTTTAAAGGGGTATGATTCCAAATTAAGGAAATTAAATGTTAAGTCTAAAACTCTCAGTTTTGAATGCATTTCCAACCTACAAGTATTCTTTTTATTTTTTAAGATTTCATTTATTCATTTGACAGCGAGAGAGGGAACACAAGCCCTGATGATTGTTTTGTTTTGGAGAGGGAGAAGCAGACTCCCCGCTGAGCAGGGAGCCCGATGCGGGGCTCGATCCCAGGACCCTGGGATCATGACCTGAACCGAACGCAGATGCTTAACGACTGAGCCACCCAGGTGCCCCCCAATCTACAAGTATTCTTTTCCTTCCTTTGTGACAGTTAAAATCATGGCCACTAAAGAAATACTGAAAGTTTCACCTCCATATTCCGGGAGAAAACAAAAGTATCCTCTGCCTCTTCTCACTCCTCAGTTATTCATCCAAACTCTGCTGGTTTGCAAAGAGCAACAATTTCTTGTGTATTTCAGACCAACTGATTTCCAGTATTTCAAAGACATAGGTTTATCCTCATTGACCCTTAATACTATTAACAGCACAGAAGGTCAGACTGTAGGTCTTTTTGAGTCTAAACATCAGGTTTACAGTTTCATGATCACTTTAGAGGCCAGTGTTCTCTTCAGGGCTAACAGGCTACAGCCAATTAAAAAAGTCAACAGCTCCCCTCCATAAGGGAAGGCCATCTAAAGGTCCTTCTAACTATTGCAGTAGTAACCTGAGCTGTAAACCAGGGCAAAATGGGGCCTGCTGCAAGTCCATTATGAAAGCACAGGCCAGCAATCACAAGTAATAAAAAAGAAATGTCAATCTCTGGTTACATCTCCCCCAAAACCATTTAAAGTTGTAAAATTAAGAGCCTACCATAACATTTTTACAAACTCCCTTTCCTCTTCTTCCTAGCCCAGCCAAATTCTCTAGCACACCAGAGATTCTGGAACCACGCTGGCTATTTACATTTACCCTTCAATTAACTGAAATTGAATATTTTAAAATTTCAGTTCCTTAGTTAGACTATCTACCTTTCAGGTGCTCGGTAGCCACATGTGCCTAGGGACTACCTCACTAGACAGCACAGATGGAGAACATTTCTATCATCACAGGGTGTTCCATTGGACAGTGCTGATCTAGAGAGAGTCTGTTCTGCCAAACTTCAAAATTCCCTCTGAAAGATAAGCTCACCCTGCTTTTCTCTCTCACCCCCACACAGCCCCCACCAACAATCTCTTTGTCATGCAAATTAGCTTAGCCTCTTTTTTTTTCCCCTTCACTTAGGCAATTAACCAGATTTCCCCATAAAAAAGACATGGGCAGAGCCAACATGAATTCTCTTCTGCAAGGCTTTCTCTCAACTCTGTAACTGTGTACATGGAAATCTCTCTGTAAATCCAGACATGTTGTGAGGGGTAGACACAGGAAAATGCACGCATCAATAAATGTTATCCCAGTGCACTGTCCATGTTTGCTAGCCTTCACTGAACATAGATAGTAGTAGCCACATGGTTTAAATAGACTGTCAGATGTTTTTAACTTGTCACACAGATGCGCTTCTAACTCCTAGCATAATACCACTTGCTGAATTTGTACTGAAAAGTAGGTGTTAGCAGTAAACAAATATGCATTACTTGCTGAGAGGGAGAATGATTATTCAAGTTACTGTGAGTTGTCAAAGGTTTATGTGCTGGTCATTTACCTCTTTGTTCTCAAGTACATTCTATACCCTTTCCATGCAAACCTTGTAAACGGGCTTCCATCAAGATTTGATCAATGGAATGCACTAATGGGATACATGAGAGCGACAGGCAGGCAGATGCTGGGGTATCCTCCTCTCCCTTTCAGGCAGCATTTCCAGCACCACCTGCATCTCCTCTATCTTTTGCTCCTACCAGATAGGCGCCCCCTTCCATGGATCTAGCTTGTGCTAGATGGCTGTTTGGTTATGGTACTACCATCTCCTTTGGCCCCTCTTGACCAGTGGTCTGCTGATATATGTGTAACGGTTGGCTCTGGGTGGGAGATGAGCCCTGATTTAAAATGTTTGCCAATGTCTGTGATGTGAATACCCACACCAAAATTGCTTGCAAAGTTTCGGAATACCGAGAGTCAGCTTTCACAAGCCTATGCAAGCCGGCCTCAGCACTCTACTACCACACCCTAAGCAAAGTAACAGGCTCCTGCCATTAATGCCTGGGTTCCCACACTGCTCCTATTTAGTTCTCAGCATTTCCAACTCCTTTATTACTAATTCCATGAATTAAATCCTTTATTAGTTACCTGGTATGGGCTCTGTTTTTCTAACTGTACCCTGAATGTATATTGTTAAAAGAGTGTAAAGTATATTACAGAAGTGTTTCTCAAAGTGCCAGGTTATAAATCAGCCTATTGCTACATATGCTGAAAGTTTAACTGACATTACTGTTTTTAAAGAGTAAGACTTTTTAAATGAAGGAAGCAGTGAATCAATTTACACTGGGACACAAGTTTCTTATCTGCGCACCGGTAACAAAGAGTTTGTGAGCTGGTAGCTGTGTGCAAACCATACTTTGAGCAACACTTAATAGAGCACTCTAGAAAAGCAACATGGCAATCTGTACGAAAAGCCCCCAAAGTCTCCTATCCTTTGTACCTGTTCTTCTACTTTGACAATGTCTCCTAGGAACTCATTCAGATAGTAGGGAAAAGCCTTATGCACAAAGATGTTCATTAAAATAGGGTATTTTTGGAAAGAACTTCAAAGTGAAAAAAAAAGGAAAATTATTAAATAAATTCATGTGTTGGGATATTATGCATTTTAAAATTATAATTGTGAATATTACATCAATACACAAAAACATACTATTATTAGTGATAAAATGAGGAAAGAAAATTTCATATGTACGCTAAGAATCATATAAGAATATGAACGCCAGAGGAAAAGACATATATACAATAGTTGACTTAGGTAGAGGGGGCATTAGGAGATGAATTCTTTCTAATTTCTTTCCTCTAATTTTCAAGGAGTGATTTTTTCCTAATGCAGGCTGCCATTTCATTCTGTTAAATAAAAAATAAAAAATAAAAAACAATAAAACCCACCAACAAAGTCAATGAGACTATTTAGGAAAAAAAAGATATTACACATTAATATCTGTGAATGTGAATGCTGTTGTATGTTTACAGTATAATCCCTGGATAAGTCTGAGGTTAAAGACCCCCAAATTGCTCATCTGTCCTGCATTCCCCCATGCAAGTCGCCTCCACCTGAATTTCATCGGCTCACCCACCAAACATGCTGCCTCTCGGGCCTTTGGAGCCTTCTTTCTTCCGTGGAATGGAAGATTTTACTCCCTAGAAGAGCATCTTTCAGCTATTTGCAAACAGGTGGGAGAAGTATTGAAGACTTGAGGAGCTTGCTGTAAGGGACCCAAAGCAAGTATCTGTCTACTATTGCTCTGCTCAGCATGGCTTCAAATCCCTTCTCCAAATTCCAGGGAGAGTACCTGGTGCCCTTTGAGATGATAATTACTTCTCCCTCTGCCTCACCCCCTGCTCCTCCCTATCCCATCATTCACCTCAGAACAGAGCTATAAAGCATTGCTTACTCAGACCAGGTATCTAAAAGCAAACAAAAACAAAAAATGAAACAAAACAAAACATACAAAAACCGTCCTCATCCAACCTGTTTTGACTTTTAAATCAATGAACAAAAGCCAACTGCAAAATTCAAGCTGCAATATTGCCACACAAACCAAGACCACACACACTGGTGCCCACCCTAAGTATAAAATAGCAATACAGAGTTCAGGCTCTGGAGCCCAACAGCGTGGGTGTAAATGTTAGATTTTCCATTCACAAGCTGAATGATCTTGGCCAAATCCTTAACCTTTCTGTGTTTCCTCGTCTGTCTCTGCTCCTCAGAGGATGGTTGTGAGGACCAGCTTAGTTATTTTACATAAAGTACTTAGAACGGTGCCTGACCCTTGATGAGCCCTCAGTAGAATGTAGCTAATATTAAGTTCTCCCTCCCCAAAATAAATGTTGTGTGATGTGGCCTCTGAAAGGCAATCCTCCCTGCTCTTCCCCAGGGTCCCTAAATCCACAGTGAGCGCACAGATTAAGGGTAAACGTCAAAATATCCAGGGCATTAAAACCACCGCATCAGAACATCACTATACAAGCAGAAATGTGATCATATTCATTTCAAGAATTTTCCATCTCATCAAAAGAAACCACCGGAAGACAGGAAATGCAAACACATTTTTGAACAGATCCCCCAGCCATGCTTCTGTCCACTTCCTTGGACACGCCTACCTCAAACCACTGCCCGTGGGACTGCATCTTGAGGACGACACAGGGGTCTGGTTTGGAAAGAGCATCTCTGTCAGAAATGCCTTTGCATGCCACACGCAGCTCAACTTTGGTCAGGCAAGGGCTGTTAAAGATTCCCAACGTATTGGCAGCTGACTCATAAATGTTGCTCATCTTCTTCATTCTGTTTTAGGCAAGAAAGAGAGGGAAAAAGGACACACCAATCACCATGCTATTTGTCAAAGGAGAAAGCCTTCCAATCACCTTTCAGGATATTGTTTAATAAACAATTTCAAACCCTGAATGTATTTATTATTTCACTTTCCACCCCAGTGGCACAGTGCCAGCAAAATGAACAAACAAAACCAAAGAAACAACAAGAAATCCCAACAGGTGCTGGTGCGCTTGGTTAAGGTTATTTTTCTATACGATTTGCATAGTAAAATTTCTAGTTTGTGAAATAAAATTAATGAAATCGTGCAAACTGTAATCCAGCTCTATATTAAGTGCATTGGCTTGTGGGAAATCTTATAGATTTGTTGGCTAATCGATTTAATCACATTCCATGTTTCTAAGACTCCCTAAAAATCCAGTTCTCCTCTTCCTTTTGTGTGATGGCACAGAGAAGAATGTTGTTCTACCCGAAGACACTGTCCCAACTTCCCTTTCCTAACCCTGGCCTACCTTCTCGAGATGCCAACAGCCAGCCAGCTCCAGGAAAGAGGCCCAGAATCTGATTTTCTGCCCCAAGTATGGAAGTCCATCCTCAGCTTTCCTCCCTCTTATCTGCCACATCAGAATTCAGAATCAAAAGGGGGGAAAGAGGGGCACCTGGGTGGCTCAGTGGGTTAAGCGTCTGCCTTTGGCTCAGGTCATGATCCCAGGGTCCTGGGATGGAGCCCCGTGTCAGGCTCCCTGCTCAGCGAGAAGCCTGCTTCTCCCTCTGCCACTTCCCGTGTTTGTGTTCCCTCTCTCGCTGTGTCTCTCTCTGTCAAATAAATAAGTAAAATCTTCAAAAAAAGAGGGGGGGCGAAGGAAGGGGGAGACTGTGTGAGAGGAAAGACAGCTTCTGATTCTGAACTCAACGGAAACAGTGGTCACGGTAAGCACTCAGGCCCCCTTCCCATCTCCTCGTGACCACATTTTGTATCATGCAGGCCTGGGCTATGGGCATCCCCCCAAGGCCACCAACACTCTTCTCCTTCTCTGAGGAGGACTGGACCTGTTAGGACATCGAAAGATTCTCTCAGGAATGAAATTCAATATCCTCCTCATGGAATTCTGTTTCCTTGTAGATTCCCTAGGAAAAGGGCAATGGCTTCCTCCACCTCACACAGCATCAGGGCTGTAGAATGGAATTTCTTCGTCTATAAAGTGAGAGTAATCCCTCTCTTCCTTCTCTACTCAACAAACATTCAGTGGGTTTCCCCTTGGTACTCAGCACCACACTAGGTTCAAGTACACAGTGCCACCTCTTTCACAAGGTGATGGGTGTGCCTCAGCATTACACACCCACACCCCAACTGGTCTGTCCAAACTTAGCTGCTAGGCTAGCTCCATGCCAAAGCCAAGCTTTTTCCGATTTGACAATGCCCCTCACTCATGGCAGATGTCACCCAACCTTCTCTCCCAATGCTCTTTCACAAAGCTCTCCACTCTTGCTCTCCATTCTTCTTCCACTTTCCTTCCTTCCTTCCTTCCTTCCTTCCCTTCTTCTCTATTTTCTCTCTCTTCTCCTCCCTCCCTCCCCCCTCCCTCTCTCTTTCTTTCCCATTCCAACTCTCCAATGCCTTATTTATCTAATTGCTGTGAACATAGGTTTCTCTCTCTCTCTCTCTCTCTCTCTATATATATATATATATATATGTATATATATATATATACTGAAGGGAAATTGCAATTGCACTGACTGCCACAAAGTTATGTCCTCAAGCAGGAATGGACAAGCTATGTCCTCTGTGTCAAATCTGGCTCACCACCCATTTGTGTAAATAGAGTTTTATTGGAACACAGGCAAACTCATTCATTTATGTATTGTGTGTGGTTGCTTTCACTGCAACTGCAGAACTGAGTAGTTGCAACAGAGACTGCATGGCCTGCAAAGCCTAAAATATTTACCATCTGGCCTTCTTTAGAAAATGTTTTCCAAGCTCTGCTCTGAAATATCAGGTAACGGGGATTCGCAGTCGGGGAAGAGTTGCGATTCTATTTTAGTATCTGTTATGGAGTCAGTTTGAGGATGAGACTTGTTCTATGTTCAACCATACAGAACATTAACAGGAATTTGAGGACATTCTTTTTTACATATGAGAAAATTCAAGCTCAGAAAGAACTGGTACTTTACCCATACCACACAATTATTGTCATCACAGAGCTGGGGCCAGAATGCCAGTTTTCCAGCCCCTAGCCTAATGCTATTTTTATCACATGTAATACCTTTAGCCGGAGAATTGTTTGTATCTACCAAGGAACAGTGGATACAATATCCCTGACTTATTTCAGCCTCCATACAGAATCATACTTTCCTTATATTTTTGAGAAAATTTTATTCATATATAGAAAATACGCAAATCATAAATGCATAGCTTAACAACTGATTGTCCCTCTGTTTTTATAGGTTGTAAGCAGACCAATTATTAGAGCAACATAGAAGGCAGAGTATATATGAAATGCAATTTATAAGAACAGTGAACAGAGAGAAGGAATAGACTAGTGGAACAAAGCTTTGTGTTCAGGCAGTGTTGGAAATGTGAGCACTTTATCAATTTTTTGATAAAAATAGCTTATTCTTCAATCAATGTCTTCCTGAATTCTGCTTTTCCCAATGCATAAAATGACTCCTTGGAATCCACATTTCTCTTGTGCATTTCTGAGTGGTCTCTCGTATCTCTAGAGGCATTATCTTTTCTAACTGTCCCATCCTTATAGACTCATGCTTACATCCATCTCCTTTCTTTTTTTTTTCTTAAAGAATCTATTTTTTGGAGCAATTTTGTATTCACAGCAAAATTGAGAGGAAGATACAGGGATTTCCCATATGCCCCCTTTTCCCACACCTGCATATCCTCCGCATCATCTAAGTGCCCCACCAGAGTATATCTGTTATAATTGATGAACCTACACTGTTCATCCAAAGCCCATAGTTTACATTAGGGTTCACCCTTGGTGTACATTCTATGGGTTTAGACAAATATATAATGGCATGTATCTAACATTATAGTATTATACAGAGTAGTTTCATTGCCCTAAAAATCCTCTCTGCTCTGCCTATTCATCCCTCCTTCCCCATAACCCAGGGCAACCACTGATCTTTTTGCCGTCCCCACAGTTTTGCCTTTTCCCAGAATCTCATATAGTTGGAATCATAAAGTATATAGCCTTTTCAGATTGCCTCCTTTCATTGATGCACTGACTCTTTCTTGATGCACTGACTCTTTCTATAGAACACGAGCTTATTCTTCAGAATGAGACATTTCTCTAAGGTCTAGTCTTAATTATGAGGTATAATGGAAGAAAGATTCCATTAAGGAGACAGAGTTCCTTCCCGTTTCAAATTCTGGCTTCTCTACTCACTAAGCATGTGACCATGAGCAGGGTACTTAACTTCTCTCATAGTTACACCTATCCTGAAGAGTTGCTATGATAAGCAGATGAAATAATATATGTAAAGTGATTAGCATAATGCCAGGTATATAGCAAGTGCTCCAAAAGTGGAGCTATTATTATTGTAATCTGATGGCTCTCAATATTAAAAAATTCATTTCCCCACTGCCAACTGGAACTCTTTTAGAATTCCCACTATTACTTTAAGATCAAAGTTCTACTAGACCCCTTAAATACATTCTGTCTTTGCAGCCCACACCTGCCATAAATAAATGAACTGGGGCACATGTTCAGAGTTGTTTTTTTTTAACCAATGAGGTACATGATCCAGAAATTTTATGGATCATTCCTTTAGGCAATGGAAAACACTTGGAGGATTTAAAGCTGGGAAAATGGATATGATGAAATAAGCACTTGATAAAGATCAATCTGGTACCAATATGATGATTGGACTGAAGGAGAGAAAAAAGTCTGTGATTGTCTAAAGGCTGCTATGCTGGTCATTATCCCTTCCTCACTGATTCTTCTCCCTTCTTCTCCTGTTTAGGGACCTAAGAAGCTGACTTTTTTACTGACTGCCAGCTCTTTGTTGGCTACTTTCCTGCTGTTATGGTCTGAAGGTTTGTGTCCCACCCCAAAGTCATACATTGAAATCCTAACCTCCAAAGGTGATAGTGTTAGTAGTTGGGAACATTGGGGTGATTAGGTCATGAGGGTGGAACCCTTATGAATGAGATTAGTGCTCTTATAAAAAAGATCCCATAGAGGTCCCTAGGACTTTCCACCATATGAGAATACAATGAGAAGTCTGCGACCCAGAAGAGGGCCCTCACCTGACCATGCTGATCTTGAAGGCCACCCTGATATTGAACTTCCAGACTCCAGAACTGTGAGAAATAAAGTTCTGTTGTTTATAATCCACTAAGTCTATGGTGATTTGTTATAGCAGCTCAGACAGATGAAGACAACCGTTGGGTTGAAGGGATGCAGACCCGGGGAAGGGAGGAGAGAGAAAAGAATATATTTCTTCCTAACTCCTACCCTGCTCCTTAGCAGTGGCAAGTCCCTACATGACCCTGGTCCTGTCAGGTAACTGTCTCCAAGGTTCTGACTATCACTGTGCTTTGGTAATACTATTTCCTCCTTTGGCTCCATCACATTTATGGATAGTATTAGTTTCCTACCAGTCTTAAGTTGGGCATCATAGAGGCAGAGCCTGAAACAGGGATTCAGATGCATTTGATTAACTGAGTAGAGGATAGAAAGAAAGTGAAGGAAACAAGAAGGTAATCCCCAGAGGCCCAGCTTTAGCATGGTTCCAAGGGGGGCTCTCTAGCATGGATTGTACCATGGGTTTGTCCACCTTAAGGAAAGAGGTCTGGCCTCTTATAACCCCATGTCAGTCAGTCATGCTAGGGTTTTGTTTTGTTTTTTTAAAGATTTTATTTATTTGACAGAGAGAGATAGCGAGAGCAGGAACACAAGCAGGGGGAGTGGGAGAGGGAGAAGCAGGCTTCCCGTGGAGCAGGGAGCCCGATGTGGGACTCGATCCCAGGACCCTGGGATCATGACCTGAGCCGAAGGCAGACGCTTAACGACGGAGCCACCCAGGGTAGAGAAAACATAACCTCTTAGTTTGGGTTCCTACCCCCACTGGCTGAGGGCAGTCAATTCTCCAGAAAAGGGAGAGCTATGAGCCATTACCAGCCAACACTCACCACCACTGGGGGATGGATCCACTAAGTTGATAAAGGGATATGGGCAGAGTTTCAACAGGGTCTATTTCACCACAGTAGTTAATCTCTGTTGTGCATATATATATATATATACATATATATATATATATAAACTCCTTTAGGTCAGACACTACTCATATTTCATTGCATCCCCAGTAATGTTCATCTTGATAATATTTGTAGACTGGTGATGAAACCAACATAAACCTTCAATTTGGATGGGGGGTGGAGATAGAGTATAGGAAAGAAATGTGGAGATAGTGAAGATAAATCTCCTAACTTTTCACAATTATACCTAGGTCCTGGCTTACCTTCATGTACAAGCATAAATGAAAGCCCTGACCAGATATACTGGAATTCATAAGTTCTTCTGGCTGCCTACAGAGAACAGTAGTCCTGACCTTGACTTGGAGGTGGTACATAGGCCAATCAAGTCAAATTGTTTGGCTTTGGCCCAGATGAAGCTCACTGCTGAAAGGTGATCACAAAATATGGCTCTGTCAGTGAGTGATCAGCTACCTCCAGCCCCAGATAAGTGAAGTAAACAACGAATTTCACACTCTGTTAGAGAATGAACAGATTATCAATACATTTCCCGAGGCCTATTTAAATCCTCTTTGTTGCCTTTCATACAATACCCTGGTTTTACAGAGACTAATGTCGGCTGAGAATTATTTTGATGAAAGCTGACTTTTGGCCAATTTTAGAAGCAAATTATAATTGTCCTTTCACTCAGATAATTTAAGTTACATATATAAAAAAAAAAAAATCCCACCACTTCAGCATATCTACTCTCTCTAACAGGACAAACTGATCCTGAAACTTAATTAGGTTCTGAATGAGTTGCAAACAATGCGAAGACAATGGAGAGCTCAAGAGAGAAGAGAATCAGCTTGAGTTCACAGGGGAACCAATTGAGCAGAGCTTGTCTTAAAACTGTGTTAAGAATAAGTGCATAATCACTGTTCTGCTTGCTTTGGCATTATTTGGCCTTTTTAAATGTCACAGCACATCCAGGGAAGGCTGGTGTGCTGGATGTCTCTATCACACTATCACACAACATTTCTATCTCGATTCTAAAACTATGTATGGAGTATCTGCTTTGCAGTGCCTTGCACTGTGCTGGAAGCTGGAGGTATTGAGCATTCATTCACTCAGCTGAAGATAAACCAGGCGTTATTCCACTAGGACTCATCAATTTATTTCCTATTCAACATTCCTTGATTTACTTTTAGTGGAGAATAATAGTTGGGGAGCTTGGCTGGCTCAGTCAGTAGAGCATTGCAACTCTTGATCTCGGGGTTGTAAGTTCAAGCCCCACTTCAGGTGTACAGATCACTTAAAAATAAAATCTTAAGAAAAGAAAGAATAAATCTACTTTTAGGTGGCAAACACTGCGCTGAACACTATAAAGGATGGAGACATAAATAAGACAGTCCATCTGCCTGAAGGTTCTTATTCTGGAGCAGTGCTTTTCTTTTCAGACTTTGATACGATCATGAATCACCTGGAGATCTTGTTAAAATGTAGTTCCTGTTTCAAGAGTCTGGGGTGGGGCCTCAGATTCTGTTCCTGGGTGTCCCTGATCCTACTGGACTTTGGACCACACTTTGAGTAGCAAGGTGGTTGCATATAAACTAAGCATTTATAAAATAAGACAAACTGTTCCACAGGTTAAGACACTCACAAAAGAGATGCAGAAAGCCATAGAGGGCAAGAGTGTGGATGAAGCATGAGATAGTGTATTTGAGGCTAACCCAAGTACTCTTCCCTTGTGGGACTATGGGCAAGTTACTTGAATCATCTATGCCTCAGTTTTCTCACGTGTAAAATGGGATAATAAAAGTCCCTATCTTGTAGAGTTGTCTTGAGAATTATATGAATTAATCCACATAAACTCCTCAGAAGAATGCCTCCTCTACAGTGAGCATTCAATAAATGCAAACTGTTATTGTCCTTTTTAGAAATTACACCAGTAGTTTCAGGTAACATTTATCAAGCTCTTCTATATCTGCCAAGCACTCAACAGTAAGTCATCCAATCTTCAGAAGAATCCTTCACCTGATCCCCCAGGAGAATCTCATGGTAGGTACTGTAAGGATGCCCCTTTCCGAGGAGAGGGACCACAGTTTTGAGAAGTGAAACAGTTGCACATGGCTATCTAGGCACGGAGGGGATTTGAAGCCAGAACTCCAGCTCCAGAATTTGGACCCTTACCACTCTGCTACACCTGCCTCCCTGTGGAACAGCTACGTGAGAAGACTCTCAAGAAAGCACAGGACACTTCCCCAAATTTTCTTGACCCGCCTGGTTCCCCTGAATGTCAGACTGCAGCTGCGCCTCTCTCCTTTTTGTCTACCCCACAAAACCTGCAGCACTCACTCTTCTCTAGGCTTTTAGATCCTTTATTATTTTTTTCCTCCACAGCTAGTCTTTTATTTTGTAAATTAATCTGCCCTCTAGGTTTCTCGCTCTCACAACTTTAATCATTACTTACCCTGTCAGCTCCCCCTTTGGCAGTACAAACACTGAATCTTCCCTAGAGGGTGGGAAAGGGAGAAAAGGTATGGATATTTATACTTTCTACCCTCATCAAGCATATCATTCTCTATAAATCTCTTTTAAAAATAACTTGCTTTCCTACCCACTAATGCTAACTACACTAATAACCAACTACACATACACTGTTTCATTTCATCCTTAAAACAATCTCTTGAGATAGGAATTGTCAGTCCCATGCCATAGATATAAAAAATGAGATTCATGGTGGTTAAGTAATCTGCCCCAAAGTCATAGCTGGTAAGTGACAGAGCCAGGAATGAAGCTTGGGTCTAATGGACTCCCAAACCTGCATATTTGAATATTTCTTACAATAATTTACATTCTTAATTTCCTTAACAATTACTTTCTTCTAGATGCAAAGGCAAACTTCAACCCTGTTCCAATCTTAACAAATCTCTAGGGTGCACTGTGTGCATTAATGAGCTTGTACTTTAGCAGTCTTTAAAAATTCACTTTTGTTTTTTTCCCTTACTCTCAGGTGGCCCAAATCATTTTTGCACTCTGCAACAGCAGCCTAACCCAGCAAGCTGGAGGGTCTGGGAACCCAGTGTCCCTACTCTGACATTTTCAAACACTGAGCATTTGCTGGGTTACGCATGCACCCAGCAAAACCAGAAGTAAAACCATGTGAACCACAAAGGGCCATGGTTCTAATGAATAAGATTCAAAATTGACAATATATGTACATGAATGTTCTTCTAGAATATACGATGCCAAATCACTCAAGTGCAGTAAATTATTACTTCAGTCATTTCCTGAGCTTTCTAATTTGAGACAACAGAGGGACTAAAAGAAAAAATCCAGCAGAGATGCTATTTCCTGAAAAACAGCTTTCCTGGGAAAATGTGCATAAGGAATCAGATATATTGATGTTCTAGGAACTTACAGGCTCACATTTTTGTCTCTAACAGTGAGTCATAAAGATGAGATTTTTCTAGAAAGCAATTATGTCCATTGCATCACATTCGTATTAATTTTATAGCACTCAAATGTCACCCACTTTTAGGAGAACTGGATGTATAAATTTCACTGGAAAATTATAAAGGCTGATAGAAACTTTTAGAAGTAAAACTTGAACAAAATATCAGAGGAAATCATATGAATGACTATCTCTTCCATGTCACAGTCCTCTTTTTCTTCTCATTCCAATTCTAGCTCCTGAAGGAGAAAGAAAGAGCAAATTCAGTGATGTTCTTTATTATTTTGGCACTGAAATAATTTCCTCCTGTTTCTCAGGCAACTAAATTTACCCAGTAGAAACATCAAATCCCAGTCTTATTTTGTTCGGTTATTTTCC